AACTGAAAATGGCAATACACGAATTTCCAGATCCTCCTAACATAAAAAAATTTTCTAATGCAACTGAAAGAATATTCGATTTATTTAGAAATGTTTGTGGTGCGACTTTGGATTTTAAGAATGAATATTTTGAAAACAAAATCGAGTCAGTTAAAAAATGTAGAAGGGAATTCCATTCAATTGCTGATGACACAATTGATCAAACTGGCAAATTGGTTAAATTTGGTGGAGATATAATGATCCTTGTTGAATTTTATAATGATGAGGATATTTCTAAGAAAGATATCTTAGATTATTTGAATAAACTTTCAAATGATGCTATAACTAATAAAACTGCAATAGAAAAAATCAGTTCCAAAATTAAAACTCTCAAGGATGAGATGTTAGAGATTCGTGATGAATTACAAAAATTTGATTTTGAAAATATGAAAAATATTGATCCTATAACATACAATAAATTTAAAAATGCTGAATTTAAAAAAAATTTTTTAATTGCATTGTCAATGACCGCTTTGTTTCTAAGTGCAATGATTACCATTCCCGTTGCAGGAGCAGTACTAATGGGAACTAATGCAGTAGAAATGTCAACATTAGCAGTAGCAGCAACAACGGCAACAACATTAAGTACGGTAGGGATGGGAGGTTCATATTCAGCTTATAAAAAAAAAGAAAATGCTGCCGAATTACAGGAAACTTTAAATATAAGACAGAAACAAATGATCAATAAATCAAAAAATATACAAAATGATATTTTATCTGCAATTCCAATTTTAAAAGAACTTGAAGATTTCTGGATGGCTCAGTTTGTTGAATTAGAAAGGCTTATTGAGTATTTCGAAAGCTCTAGTGTGAAGAGATTTCCTCTTAATAAATTAATTATTAAGCGTTTGGAAAAACGATGGAAGGAAACAATTGAAGAATGTAAACATTACTCTGACACTACAAGAAATAAATTAGAGGATGATAGGAATGATATGAATAATTAAAAATAACCAATTGTATGTGAGTGAAATCACTTTTAAAAAATATTATTTTTACTTCTTTCACTTATCACATTTGATGATGCATTAATTTTATTATCATTTAATAAAATATTTGTTGATTTTTTAAACCCATTAAGAAAGAAAATAAAAATGAAAGTGTCATAACATAATTTCACACAAGATTATCAGAAAAACTAATTATATCCAAATTAATTAGCATTTTTGTTTTTAAAACATTAAATCTATTTGATAAATTATATTTTATATTTTATACGAATATAAATATATTGGCTTCAGTTGTCGACTATAATGGAAATGGCATCCTATCACTCGCTAAAATTAATAAATCTGTAATTAAGCTCTATCCACATTTTGCAAAAGATAAGCCTGCAATTATGCAAGCTTACAAAGTTACTGACATTTCAAAGGTTTGTTGGTTGTTATGTAAAATGTCTTTCATTTTACGTATTAGAAAATTTTTACACCTCTGACACATCGAATCTCCTATCAGGATGGGTGGTTTCGTTGACTTGAATGAATTTGATAATCTCCTTGATCTTCTTTATTACTATGATAAACTATACAAGTAAGTTCAGTTATTCAGAGTTCAAGTAAGGATATGAGCTTGTTGGGGGTAAATGCGAATTTAGATGAAGAACTTAAGACAAAATTTGATAAATTTGATACGAATGATGGAGGATATATCCTCTTTGAAGAGGTAAAGTGAAATATACCTGTTTTTTGAAAGTTTGTTGCGCTTGAAACTAATCATTATATGGTGCAAGTCACCTGGTCCACAACTTTCTATGCCACACCGCCAATTTTGAGAAAAATTTCTCAATCAAAAATGCAATAAAAAAATTGTTTGGTCATATTTCCTGGTCATTTTATTAATATTAATGTATATACACTATTTGTTACTAGTTAAAATTTAAAAATGACATTAACAATAGAAACGAAATGTATTTCCATGAAATATATTTTTGATGCTAGGTGGGAAATAGCAAAGTATATGTTTTGCGCATTTCTTTGATCAATGCAATATTTTATTAAAAACTCTACCACTGGCATTAGATACATTGATAACGAAACAACAACATTACTAAGAAATTTATTATAATATCATAAACATTACAACATAAGCGACTTAAAAGTATGTATATATGATTAGTCTAAAATTAATCTAAACGGTTAAAGAATTTTTAAAAACACACCATCATTTAACATCTGATGAAATCCTTTGCAATTGATCTCTTTATCTGTAAACCTCTCAATGATTCCAGCTGTTAAATGTTTTGATAACCTAAGATTAACATTTCCATCCATCGATCGCAATGCATTGATATGCGACTCAAAAATATCATATTGTTGTTTCCAAAATTGTATCAATGTCTCTAAATGTGTTAAAATTACTGGTAATTAATTTTGTTGATATTTTTTCTTCATATTTCTGAATGTTTTTTTGTTCCCTTTCATCATTCATAATAGTGTTATTGTTCCTTTTATAGAGTCCAGTTAAATGGTGTCTGTTTGTAACAATTATTAGATATTTTAATTTCCTGGATATTCTTTTACGATCATAAATACTATATCCAGAAATAATAACAAGATTCAAACAAGTTAAATTAACACCGGATAGGTAGGATTGGGTAAAAGGTTGCCTTACATTTGAAGCAGAAATAGAGGGTTTAATATTATCTTTTAGCGATTGACCTATTATTGGCAAAGAATCTGTTGAGAAAGAATTCAATACACGTGTTGAGACAAGGTTGAATACAAGCATAAAAACTTCTGGATAATACACTCGGAATATTTCGAGGTTTGCTACCGTCTGTAATTTGTAATAATTGGTTGCGTTGTACTGCCATCTCATCATCATCATCAACACCTTTTGATGTTCGATTAATGTTTTCAGCGATGGATGTGTCAAATTGTTCAAAGCCATTTTTTAATTCCTCAGAGTCACTAATTCTCTGTTTTGTCATATCCTTTAGTACTAATAACGTTTGCAACAAATCGTTGGAGGCAACATTATCTTCTGTAAGCGTCTTAAAGTATTCTGTGAAATCCTTCAAATCCATTGACTTTTTTAAAGACCCTTTGGCTATCCTAGCAACTAAATCATTAAACTTACTATTTAACTTATTGACATCATCATCATTCCTGTTAGAAATTTTGACATGTGATTCTTTTAAATGTCGAAAAGCTTCAAGTATATCAACAATGGCCTTTTGCGAAACATCAAGATTAGGAAATATTGCACTTTCATATTGTTTTAATTCAATCAAAGCCATTGATGTATTTCTTCTTATTCACGTTGTACACACGACTGACTATTGCTTATAATTATTTCCAAAATCGGCTAGATTTTCGTCAATGGTATTTCTTAAAACAAGTCAAAAAATCAAATTTAAAACATTTAGAAAAGTCATAACCTTTCCCACGAAAAAAGCCCCCATCCTCTATATTATTATATTACTTATCTTTTTTGTCGTTATTTAATCCTTTCATTGAATATGAGCACCATTGTTTCCACTCTTGTATCGTGTCTATTAGAATATTCACGATGATTATGCAATGCATATTATAATAATTGCATCATTCAATTATAAATGATACTAGGACCATGCAAAAATGAAATTTTTAACATTTGGGATATAGATCCGAAAATTTAAATGAATAATAAATCTGATTGAATATTTAGGGTGTCAGATTTAATTAAAATCTTCCTTCTACAAACATGCAACCGTATCTTCATATCCATGGAAATTCTTCAGGTAATAATATCGATGATTATTACCCTTAATAAACTCTTCCATGGGTAAAGCGATTAGAACATGTTAGTAGGCTTTGATCGAATAAAAGGCTTTAACAGCCGTTATTCATTGAAAACAACACGACTTCAAGGCTTTAACAGCCACAACTCAATTCCTAGGCTTTAACAGCCGTCATTGACAACAACTCAATCTCAGGGCCATGGCATCCCCCCCTGAAAATTTAAATCGCGTCATCGTATCTTCGGGGTCGTCAGTCAGATTAGCCTTTGTTACCCAGGAAGATAAGAATAACTGTAATTTTTAATAATCAAATATCATCTTTTGGTGTTTCCGGACGGTTCAAGGGCAGGTTTTCCATCTTCAATACTTAAAAAAAAATATAATAGTTTATTGAAAAATAGATATTTTGACAGTTGATTTAAAATGAGCAGATATAATGTTTTGAATAATAATATAGTTAGATTTAAAATAAAGTTGCTTTTTTTACCTTATAATAATTAATAAACAAATATACCGTTATGATAAAGGAGCGAATATAACTGTCATCTAAAATTAAAGCCCTTACGTGGAGCAAAAACAAAAGGAAAGGGGTT